TTGTAGCTTGAGATTGGCTTTCCTTAGTTGCTCCAAAACATCTCTTAGTTTTTCATTATGATCAGTTAAATCTTTACCATATACCACAATATCATCCATGTACACAAAACATTTAATTCCTTTTATTCCTATTAGAATGATATCCATCATTCTCTGAAAAATACTAGGTGCATTTTTCAATCCAAATGGCATTCTCTTAAACTCATAATGCCCATGTGGGGTAGTGAATGCTGTTTTCTCGATGTCCTCCTTAGTCATTTTAATCTGATGAAAACCATTTGTTAAATCAAGTGTTGTAAAATATTTCGACATTCCTAATTGGTCTAAAATCTCGTTGATATTTGGTATTGGATATGTATCCGCCACCGTCATTTCATTTAATTTCCTAAAGTCGACTACCATTCGCCACTTAGCTTTTCCAGAAGCATCTTTCTTTTTCGGAACCATCCACACAGGAGAATTCCACGACGATTTAGAATTCCGTATAACATCGTTTTCTAACAATTTCTTCACTTGATTCTTCACTTCCTCTTCATGTACCTTTGGATATCTATATGTTTTCGTATAAATAGGTTTTACTCCTTCTTGTGTTCTTATATCACAAGTTAATGTTTCCGTGAAACTCAATTTTTCTCCTTCTAAAATGAACAAATCACTATATTCTGAAATCAATTTCCTAATTGATTCATTCTCCTCATCATTCATATGATCTACTCTTAAACTCTTTTGTATACATTCACACCTATTTCTTATTTGAAAGACTCTCTCTTTCATTAATTTTTCTTTTTTAGGATCCTTCCTACAATTATCATCAATATTATAATCCCTAAGGTCTTCTACCTTCAACGGAAAATCAATTACAACTTTTTCCTCACATTTATTTATAATACTTACTAAGCATTTCCCATTTCTCATTGTACTAATACAATGAGGAATGACAATTTTTTCATCTTCATAACGCGGAACATATACATCTAATCCATTCTTTTTACCTTTCTTAACCTTAATAGAACGAAAGACTTCCATTCTTGGAGGAACAAATTCTTCAAATTTATTACATTGGAGGCTATGTACATTTTTATCAACATAAAATAAATCCTGGTCATAATCTATCTTGCACTTAAAGTGGCCTAAAAAATCAGCTCCGATTATGCCATCATATCCATAAACCAGATCATTTGGTATCACGTGAAAATTCCATCTGTAATTATGCGTTTTGCCTTTTAAATTCTTAATTCCTATTCTAATAGATGCATTTCCTATTGTTTTTTCAGATTTTTTGCCTATACCAACTAACTCTATCTTATTAATATTATTCATTTCTTCTATATATGTATGCATTTAGATTTAATTAAACTAATACTAGCCCCAGTATCTATAAGGAATTTATAAAAGCATTTCTTATGATCTATTATTATGTAAGGACTTTCTTTACTCACATTTAAGGAAAACGTTGCCTTACTTACGTTTTCTACTTTCGAAAATTTTTGTTTCCTTCCGGAGAAACATTCTTTTGTACTACCTTTGAGTAACATTTATTTGCAAAATGTCCTATTTTGCCACATTTATAGCACTTCATAATTTTTTCTCCAGTGCTATTAGTTTGTTCCTTTTTCATGGTACATTTTGAAGCAATGTGCCCTAATTTTCCGCAATTGTAGCACTTTATTTGTGTTACTTTAACACTGAAATTTCGTCTCACACTTTGTCTATAATTTATTCTAGATTCTTCATCCTGGGCAAATCTTCCAGCCTCCGACAACGATTGTGGACGACAATTGTTCACATATTGGCCAATTTCTCCATCTAAGCCATTTATAAATGCATTTAAAACGATCTTAGTTTCAATATAATTATAAACAGCTTCTCTAACACTATCATCCTGAGTTTCTATTTTTGCATCAGCTCCCAATTTCCTAGACATGGTTTCCATAAATAATTGGAACTGCCTAACTGTTCGTCCCCCTTGTCTAGTAGATATCAGTTCTCTATATAAAGCTAGTGTACTATCACTGTCTTTATAGTTCTGTTTGAGTTGAGTCTTAAGTTCATTCCAATTGCTTATAACTTTATTTTCTAATATTAATCTTGCGTTTCCTGATATCTGTGACTTTATATATTTAAATAGGAAATCTTTTTGATGTGGCTTTGCTACGCCTATAGCATCATCGCAAGCGGAGACAAATGTGTAAAGCTCAGTTTTATCGCTTTTAAACTCGGGTATTAATTTTATTAATGTATTAATGTCTACCATCTCTCCTAATCCACTCGAATTGCTAGAATTACCAGAATTACCTGAATTACCTGAACTTCCTACATTAACATTGTCATTTGTTGCCATTATGAATTTTATACAACGTAAAATATTACACGAAATTATTGACAAAAACTATTATTAACTTCTATAAACTCCAATATATATATGTATATATATATTTTCTTTTAACAATATTAATTTATATTGATTTCTATAAACAGCAAAATTTAATTTACTTTCACTTATATGTGTTTTTTTTTTTTATAATTCATAAAACAAATACTGTTACTTATAAAAATAGTAATAATTATCATTAGATAATTTTAGATAATTAAATTTGACATTTAGTACAATAATAACAAAATTTAATATTAAAATTTTGGTACATTACCAGCTAAGTGAAACCCATAACATCAGAATCATCTTCATTTTCGAATTTGCTCACCAGATTTGCTTCTTAATTGTAGAACACCAGATTTCTTCCCGATTTTTTGTATTTCACCACCTTCTCCTTTTTACGTTGAGTGTATTTTTGAACTGCTTTTCTGTTATATATATTTTCACTATTGTCTTGTCTTTTACACGATAATTAATTTTGTATATTCTACTTTTTCAGTATATTATAACACATTCAACTCAGCTATTTTTTTTTGTTCCGCACCTGAACTTTCTGATCTCACTTTATTTCTTGATTGGCAAATAAATATTTTCAAAAGTTAATTTTCTGTTAAATTTTTTAATAGTGCACAGTTTTATTAAAACTTATTGCTTGTTTTTTATTTTTACTGTCAATAATAATTATCCTTGTTGATAATATAATTTCACAACATATATTATTTCTTTATTCGTTTCAGTTACTCGAAACACTCCTTTTAACATTTACTCGTACCGTATACTAATTTTGGTAAATTAAAACACTTTTTAATTAATTTTTTATTTTCAACCGAAAATTCTATCCAACCGCTGCCACCAATTTATTTTGTTATGAACTTAAACAACGTGTTGATATTTCGTTGGCTTGACTCGAACTGAACTAATAGAATCAAACAAAAGCTATCCAAACCAAATCAATTGTGCTGGGATTTGCATTCTTAAGATAAGTGCGGTGGTGTTTGTCGTATGTAAGTTGATTCCTATAGGAGAAACCATAAGCGCAACATTGTTCATAAAGTAAACAAAGAATACTGTGTGCAGTTTGACTACAGTGATCATGGCTGAATCAGCATAAACAGTAAGTAAGCTTCAATGCACTTGAAATAAAGTAAACAGGAAGCGTTACTTTGTATGTAGGATAAATTCCTAAACAAAACTGTGATATTGCGATTTGTCTTTTATTTGTCTTGATACAAAATAAGACAAAACTTAATTTGACAAATATGTGGTGTATGTTTATTTTAGAATTTGTTTACAATTGCCACAAAAACATGTATGTTTATTTTAGAATTTATTTACAATTTTCTATTTGTTATTTAATACTTCTATTTTTCGTATAATTGAACTTCAATGATGCTTCTACGTGCGGCGGCCACAAAAACACGATCGAGAGAGAGCAAAAAAACAAAAACGGAAAAGGAAACTAACCAAACGAAGCAATAACAACATCATTCCATGCCTTCAACTGTCAAAGCAGATAAAGGCTTGGATTTAATGTTATGACTTGCTCATTTGGTTCAGCCTTTATCGATAAGTGTACGAACATTCCGCCGACGTTGAAAGATTAGTCTTTCAAGGATCACATAGAATAGCAAGTTTTTGAACTGGACGACGAACGATCCCCTTTTTTGTCTGGATATCGGCAACACGAACCTTACCATCCTTGCCCTGGATGGTTTTTGTTACGCGACCTGCCACCCATACCATTGGTGGCATGTTTTCTTCATGAATCAAAACAAGCGTCCCAGTCTGTAAATTATTGCTAACCTTAGTCCATCGATTGCGCTGAATCAGTTCGTTGAGATACTCGTTTGACCACCTGCTCCAAAATTGTTGTTTCACTGCACTAATGCGCCGCCATCGTTCGAGGTATGACACTTCTACATTTTGATTAATGTTTGGTTCACTGATGCAGTTCATGGGACACCCAATCAAAAAATGACCTGGTGTCAAAGCTTCGAGGTCATTCGCATCCCACGACACAGGTGAAATCGGTCTGGAATTCAAGATTGCTTCGATTTCTACGAGAACGGTAGTGAGCTCTTCATATGTTAACTTGCTGTTCACCAGCGTACGATACATGTGCCCCTTTGCAGACTTCACGGCGGCCTCCCAGATACCTCCAAAATGTGGTGCTCTAGGTGGAATAAAGTTAAAGGATATTGATTTATTTGAACAGAAATTAATGACATGATTTTTATACGCTTCACTAGTAAAGCTTCGTTTAAGTTTAACCAGTTTTGTATTGGCTCCTACAAAATTCGTAGCGTTATCACAATAAATTTCTGCAGGTAGTCCTTTGCGACCAATGAATCTTTTTAGCGCTGCAATAAATGCATTTGATGACAGATCTGTTACTGCTTCAATATGAACGGCTTTAGTTGTGAAACACACGAAAATTGCTATATAACATTTATAGGGCTGTTTTCCTCGAATTTTCAAATAAGTAGAAATAGGCCCACAGAAGTCAATTCCGCATTTTTCAAATGGTTTGCCTGGCGTCACACGGGAAGCAGGCAAATCTCCCATTATCTGGCTTAACAATTTTGGTTTATAACGTATGCAGCTGATACAATTATGTACGATCTTCCTAGTTAATCCTCTGGCATTGACGATCCAATATCGTTGTCGTAAAATTGAAATTAAACGCCTTAGACCCGGCATGATAATTTTCAATATGATGATGTCTAGCCAAAGTCTCAACGAAATGACAATGTCTTGGTAATAAAAAAGGGTGTTTTCTTTCTTCTGAAATACTCGCATGCATAAGGCGTCCACCAACACGAAGCAATGGAAATCCATCCACCTCTTGAATAAAGGGACTAAGAGTTTTCAACGAAGTCTTAATTTCCACGTTGTTGTTTATACAATGAATTTCATTAGAGAAATGTTCGCTTTGAATGATCCAGATGATGCAATGTAAAGAATGTCGTAACTCATCACTAGTGAAATTATGTTGATGATCAGGAACCCTTTGTTTAACTCGGTTACGCACACGAAGTAACCAACCAATAACACGAAGTACTTTAAGATATGAGCTGGTCCGATCTATGAATTGTAGCACTTGATTTGTGGGTGTTTCACATATTATAACTATTTTCCGAATTGCACCA